TTTTCATGATATTCTAATTTAATGACAAGCACCTGTACATATTTAAATTGCAATTCAAATTGCTTGATGTTTGAGGGACAAGAAGAGCAAATTGTTTTTCAATGTGTTTAAAACGTTTTTCTCATTCCAGATTGTAAGTGTCCTGCACTGGCTTCCATCCCGAAAGTTTCTGTCCACCTGGGGAACATGAATTTTATTTTATGCGCTTTTATTTTGAAAACACTTTTGAGGTCTTCCTGCGGTAACGAGCCCTGATCTTTCCCTCCACAGGAGCTCTGCCTCTGGCAGCCTATAACCTGGGTAAGGTCCGCCCTTACCAAAGGGGCTTTTTCTGTAATGACGACTCCATCAACTACCCCTTCCACCAAGGCACAATCTCCTCCACCGTGCTCTACGGCGTGGGCTTAACCCTGCCTATTGTCTCCGTAAGTAGTGATGTCGTTCAAGGCAGGATAGATGAACACTCACAACCCTCCTCATGGTGAACATGTTAGGCGTGTTGCCTCAGGTATGATGCAGGCTGCGTTACTGTCGCACCTCCATGGAAAACATCCACTTCTCCTTTTTCTGGTCTGACAAATCAAAGTGTTCACCATGAGCAGGGTTTATAATAGGGCTGCACAGTATAATGTGAAAACCTTGATATCACTATTAATATTGTATAATAATATCTCAATACAAGCTGCTTCTTTCTTTTTCTGACATCATGACTCTGCTACTTCTGTCTAAATCCATCTGAGGGTTCGTTGAACAGGCCTAATAAATTCTTGGCATGAATATAGCAGGCTGTGATTCATTTCAGTCCAAGCACTTCTTCGCAATATTATTTCTCACCTCTGACTTTGCAGTAATAATTTTTCCATATACTGTGCAGCCCTGGTTTTTACCAGCTGATAAAGCGGCACTTTAAAGAGCAGATACCACCAAACTAACATGGTTTATTCCAGTAGCTAACCGTGGTGCACCTAAAGCTAAAGGCCAAAGAGGATGTCCACTTAAAACATTAAACAAAAACGTCTGAACCAACTTCTGACAAAATCACAACTGTTATAAAACACATTTTGCTTGTTTTCATTTAATAAGTGTGTTTATTTTCCTAAAATATTCCAGGGAATATGCAAAAATAATCTCATAATCTGAAAAAGAACCCCCCCCCCCCCCCGCCTGACTTTAATTGGTATTTTACTAAAGAGTTTTGATCTCCAGGCTGAACTTTCCATTGCTGTCAGTCATCTGAGCAGTGGACGTGCAGGCAGCGTCCTCTGCTCCTTAAAATAGCTGGACTGATGTTCTGGATCAGAGCCGCTGTTTCTGTGGAATAATGGAGGTTGGAAGAGCCGTGCGTGTGCGTGCGTGTTGTTTTTGTGGCGTCTGTCTGCAGTGTATCACAAGTTCTCCCATCTGTTCAAACATATAGTTTTTTCCAACGCCTTGCTTCGTTGTTCAGTGTCGGTGATCTGTGGGTTTACTTCTGTCCTGCAGCGATATTAAAGTAACTTGCGTAGGGATGCACGATATTGGATTTTTGGCCTATATCCGATATGTTAAAACTTATTTGGCCGATAACCGACACCAGTACCAATAGTTTTCCCCTAGATCTACTTACAGAGACTACATAGCTTTCTCTGCTTTGGAATTAAAATACTACATTATTCTGCTTGGTCCTTGTCAATTTGGCTGCTACCAAATGCAGATGCCAAAAAGGGGCTGAAAATGATGTAACACTTCAACTTGGATTATGTTTATTGTCCAATTTATTCATAACATTTACTCTTAACACAATGACAACACTCGAACAGTGCAAAGTTGTAAATTTTCACAAATCTAAACTCAACGGCGCGCGTGACATCATAGCGTTGTGCTAGCACGGCATACATCATTGATACTTGGTTGTCATACAAAAACAGCGCCTTTATTTATTATATATAAATAAATAAACACCTTTTATATCGGTGAGTTATTTTAATGGAATGGCCGATGTCCAATATTTAACTTTTAACGCTAATATCGGCCGATACCATGCCGATAATATCGTGCATCCCTAATCTTGGGTTTTATTTGAGATGAAAACAAAGTGTAATTTGAGTGTTTTTACGAGAAGCCTGTCTAGAAACCCAAACCTTGCTGCACAGGACACATCTAAACCAGCGATGCATTTTCTGGTATGGTTTTTAACATCATTAACATTCCCCTTATGGCAGCGTCGGTCTGTTTTAACCATTAATCTTTTTGAGTAGTTGGTGCGGGATCGTCTACCTGAGCTGCTGCCTCCTGTTTGGCGAAGGCGCACACTGTTGCATGATGGGAAGATGTCTTTAACCCCTGTCATAACCTGTATTTTCTCTCTCTGTCGTTGCTTCTCTGGTAGCTGGAGTCCCATTTGCAGTACTCAGTTTTCAGCACAGGCCTTTCCGCCGAGGCTTTTTCTGTAATGATGAGTCGATAAGGTACCCCCTTAAGGAGGACACCATTTCCTATCAGTTGTTAGGAGCTGTTATGATTCCCGTCACAATACTCACTGTAAGTGTTTTTAATACTGTTAACGGTTTGTTTTGTGCCTCTTTTGTCTTTCAGCTTCTCCTCCTCTTAATATTTTCCATGTTTAACTATCTTGTCACTTTGCCTGCATGTTTTTGTTCCTTTATAGTCACTGCGCTAACATCGCATTTTCTAGCAGCATGTTGCCGCAAAGGTTTTGAGGATGACGTAGGAAGAGGTAGACTTTTTTTTTAGTTTGAACCTTAACGTCATGTGCAGCTGCAGCAAGAGTTTGCAGAATGAGAGCAGATGGGAAAGTCTTCACGTTGGCCCGGAGGAAACTTAACTCGCCTAAAAATGTGCTCTCCTTTTTACTGTTTGCAACGTTCAGCGTAGAATGAAAAGAAAAAGCGTCAAAGTACTTATTAGAATTGAAGAAGGTAAAACTAAATGGATGCATTTAAAAGTAGTTCTATTGAAATCCTTTTGAAAACACCACTTAAAGATGAGTAAAATGCACCTGTCATCGCGTATTTTGTTCGAGGTTGAGCCGTCGGGGTTTATCAACCGTTCGCAGTGTTGCAAACTACGTTCACAACCACCGACTGTAAACCACAACATGGAAAAGACCTGAGTCATTCATGTCGTAACAGAACTCTTGTGTGAGGAAAAATAAGCAGCGCTCAAAGTAAACCCTAAGGCTGAAACCTGCACGTTTAATCATTTAAGTGGACATCCATCTGAGGCCAAGAGCTTGTTTTTTTTATTTTTTTGTGCTGAAAACTAAATTACGTAGGAACCGAGCTAACGTTGGCAAATGAACTGCACAGTTTAGCAGAAAGACTAAATAAATGTTCTGCTTCAGTCCATATTCCACTAAATGCACATTTAGTCAAGTCACATTTCTTTATATAGCACATTTAAAAACAGCTGTTACCAAAGTGCTTAACAATAAAAATCAATGGTTGTAATTTAAAGAAAAGACGGATGTTAAACAGAGCTAGTCAACTAAACTACTCAGGGGGCCACAGTTACTGAAAGCCAAGAGCTCAGAGGCCGGGCATCCAGCTGTTATTGTCGTTAAGTTTTTAATGGTTTAAAATCTAGTTTTATTTAAAAATGAACCCATTGGTGGGCCGAACTGAGCTCACGCGTGGGCCTGATTTGGCCCCTGGACCACCAGTTGAACAGCTCTGGTCTAAAATGTCCAGAGTTTGTGGTAGGCACAGGTACAATTTATTTGTTTCATGTGTGCTGTGTGGAAAAATCTTTTGCTCTAAAAGTTTCTTTTTCAAGCTGGTAAAACTGTTAAATGAGTAAAAATATTATTTGGTGAATATTTTTACACCAGAGCTGTCATTTCTTTATGACTTCAGGACTTGTTGCAAGCTCTGCCTTTTCTTTTCAACATTTTCTTCTCTGTTTTAAAACGAACCTCTAACTCGCTCCATTCTTCTGCTTGCAGATGGCCATTGGGGAGTGCCTTTTAGTTTATCACAGCCGTCTCAAATCCAAGTCGGGTTTCGGCAGCTACGTCGCCTGCGTTTACAAAGCCGTCGGTACCTTTATCTTCGGTGCGGCGATGAGCCAGTCCCTGACGGACATCGCCAAGTATTCAATCGGCCGCCTCAGGCCACACTTCCTGTATGTGTGCCAGCCTGACTGGAGACTCATCAACTGCTCATCGGGGGCGTATATTGAAAACTTCACGTGCAACGGAAATCCAAAAATGGTCAACGAGGGCAGGTACGTGTTCTGCTCAGATATGTCATTTTTGATCAATTACAGAAGCAAAACCTGGTTTGAACCTTTAAAATTATGACGTTTTGTTCTAAATACTCACAATGATGATGATGAAGGCCACTGAATAGTCCCTCGCTACTTCACGGTTTATCGCGGTATCGCTTTGTCGAGATTTTTCAAAATAAGACTGAACGTGACGCACAATTGGCTGATTGATGGATGAGCCGCACAATCGGCATGAATTTTTTATTTAAAATAAATTATTTTAAATTATTTATCACCTGCTCCACCTTTGTGCAGCCCAGAGCTGCAGGACAAACTTCCTGCTGCAGCTGATCAACTGATCAGCAGAGAAGTGGGCGTGGCCAAGAGCACTTGCAGGTGGCAAAGAGCAGAGGAGGCAGAGAGCTGACATCTTAACATTCTTTTGATGCTTTTTTAGAGCGTTTAGTCTTCAGGGTACAGACCCCCTGTGATAAACGAGGGACTACTGTACTGCATGTTGTTATGCAGGAAGATCCACCTGGGTAAATGTTCTCCACAGGCTGTGTAATCCTGCGTGGTTTAGATTATGAGGAGACTTGCCTTCAGATTATTCTGCTTTTGGAAAAAAAGTTTGTGAGCCATGCCTGGGTGACGATGATCATTGAAGATTTAAAGAAAAAGAAAAAGTTGCAGTTCTTCTGAAGACAATTTACTCTGTTCTTCAAGGTTCTTTGTCACATGCAGCACATGTGGTGGAACGTAATTGTGTACACAGGGTCCCAGTTACATCGAACAAAAGTATCAAATGTAAAAGAAAAACAGTAATAAGATCTAAGATATGAACTAAGAAAAACGTTAACTAGAAATACGCCAAACACTAGTAGCATAAAAACAATACGCCAAATACGTTATCATTTGCTTCATGATTTTAACCACAAAGTTGGGAAGTGTTTTATTTATTAATTTTTTTATTATAAGTCTCACACTGTAAAACGCGGCTGTAATGTAATTTTGAGCTCCCTCACTGCCTTATGTTTTTATTTAAATCAAGCATTTAATTTAATAATAAATCCCAAGTTTTATCCTGACATTTTACAAGAAAGAACGGCAGCTCAACAATCATTGGTATGAACAGATTTTTATGGAGGTTTTAGCTGCAAAATGAGCTTGTGAACTCAGAGCTGACTCTCTTTCCTCCTTGAGTAATTATTGCAGAGAAGAACTCAAGAAGAGTTGTGACTAAGATGAAAATCGCACCACCTTTCATGATTAGTCCAAAAGGAAAGCCCAGTATTCTCAAAAACGTGTTACAGCTTTAATCATGAATTTACTTCAAATTTAAGACGTTTAAATTTAAATCATTCATGTTTTGAGTGTCGCCTAACATTCAATAATGTATTTTTGTGCTCTGACCTTCATTGGAGCTCAAGTTAGCAGGTATCAACTGTACAGACTGAACGAGTCTGATTACTGGCAACACGTTGAGCAGACTGCGCAATAAAATTAAATAAAACTCAGATGAAACGTACATTTACAGCAAAGTAAAGCGGTCGACCTGAAGCAAAATACGCACGTTCTTTTGGCAACGTTTAGTTTTCACATGTAATAAACAGATGGCATACGGCCGAGCAAACCAGTTCAACCACTCAAGGTTGCAGATACTCCGCCTGAGTAACGTGGCAGGAATGCTTGTTTTTATTAAACAGTCTGTTATCGGCTCCACGGAAAAGGAAGAATGGTGGGAGGAGAGGATTTCCTCTTCTCGTTCTGATGTGGACAAAACCACAACGTTGTTGTCGCCGTGTAAAAAGCTGTTCTAGCTAAACAGCTTTCTCTTCCAATTTATTTCTAACCTCAACTTTCTGTTTCCTTTTGTTTTCTTATGAGATAATTTACATGAAGCTTCAACTTTCTAGTCTACTGATCCTATTATCCACCCCCCACCACACACACACACCTCGTCTGTGTTTTCTGCTGTACATTTACAAGGGTGTGGTGCACAATCGCTGCTTCCTGGAGCCTCTTTACTTATCTGCTGTTTTTAAATGTAGTCTGAGGCAGCAAACATCCGACAGGAGCCCGAGAGAGAGATGCAGTGATTTGACGCAGATGTTCAGGACTTGTAAGATGTATTTCAGGATAAACCTTTCCAGCTGCTGTGTGTGTCTGGGATGGTCTGGTACACACCAATAAGGTCTAATAAGGTGTGAACAGAAGAGAGGGCAGGTCAGGGCGGCCTGCTCGGCCTCATCTTACAGAAACTTGACTCCAGCTTGTTTTGGTTCGGCTTCCCCAGGAGAGACGAGGCTGTATGTTTGTGGAAGAGCTGAAATTTAGGATTTATTTCTAGAAGAAACATTCTTCTTCCTGGTGGATATCACTAATGAGCGATGAGTTCATCTCAGTCTGACGCCTGCAGTCAGGCAGATTTAACCTGATGCCCAGCGCATTGAGGTCATTATTATTTATACGTTTGTTGTAAAGGCTGGGGGGGGGGGGGTTCTGTTCTGGTGCTGTTTAATAATGTATGGGTTTACCGCTTTTCTGTCAGGCGGACAGATGCTATCCATGACCTCAGTCTAATCTTGTTTCTAAGTTAAGGGAGTGAGTTTGCAGAGTAAAGACGTGTCTCTGATGGCGTCACTCAGCAGGTCATTGGTTCAAGCTGCTCTGACCTCAACTGTGAAACTGCTGATGCTACATCACGTTCAGGGCTTAATTTGAGCCGGATCCTGTCGAAACGGGATCTGAGAGCTCTTATTTTAACAGGGTGTGTTCTAGGAACTATTTACTTTGATTCGGTAACTCTAAAGTTATGAAAAAATATGACTGCCTTGAGTAAAACCTATATTGGACATGTATCGTAATCTGAAAAAAAATGCATAAACACTAATTTTAAACACAACAGCCACTTATGAGCTTCTTAATAAGAACCACTTCAAGTAAGCATTTCTGCTTCTACCCTTAAAAAAATCTCTGCCCTAAGTCGTGGGCAATTTAATAAAAACACAAATATAATTAAACAGCACAACTAAATTGCAAATCAGTTTTACAGTTTAAATGGGTCATTAATAAAGTTTTATTTATTAAAAGTATGAGAGAAATGTTTGAGTAATCACGTGTCGCAAGTCACGCATCAAAATGCGCCAATATGTCAAAATAACAGTGATCAAAATGTTGAAAAAACAGTCCAACTTCCATTAAAATAAAAAATATACATCATTGCACAACTAATCAACCGAGATTTGAAGCACATGAAGGCCGTAGCAATGGAGATAGTACTTGATGCGGGGGTGGGTATTAGGATGCCTGTGCTCTATTCACAGGAGAGCTAAAATACACCAGAATGTAGGAAATGACATCTACTTTTTATTTAAAAAATTCTGGGTGAGGACCCCCCCACCCCCCCCTATTTGCGTCCAGGCATTGTTTGGTTTACAAATTAAGCACCGGTCATGTTTCAGAGATTGCATTGTCAGGTGTTCAAAAACTGTACTCATCTGGTGGTAGCTGTAAAATATAACGGTACAAACAGGAAGTGACCACAACAAAGGAGTACTGTAGGGAAGTGCTTCACTTGACCTAAACATCCTCTCTGGTGTCAATTCTTCAAAAAACATGTCTGTACACTCAGAGCCACCAGGACCCCTCTGTTAGTGTAACTTTTGTCTTCTTGTTTAAAGTTTGAGCCACATTTTGTTTTTTGCAGGCTGTCCTTCTACTCGGGCCACTCGTCTTTCTCCATGTACTGCATGCTGTTCCTCGCTGTGAGTACACGTCATTTACATGCTGAGCTGTGAAATAGTTCCCATCATCGTTTACTGGAAAACATTATTGTGAGGATTTTTATTTTCCAGCAGCTTTATCATTTCACAAGAGTTTAGGTTAAATGTAGCTTTCATTTCAAATGAATATTCAACCAATAAGACGTTTAGTGTTTCTGCTGCCTCGGTCGTTCAGGATAGTCTTTTGACACTCACTTTTTTTTTTCTGTGCTCAATTTTAAGTCAGGTGTGGATTCTGTTACAGCTTTGTTTCCAGTCTAAAACGGTTCAGGCAAACTTTACATACATCACTCCGTCAAGTATTTTGAGCTCCAGAGCTTCAATATCCTGTCTTTTTGAAGACCTTGTGATTCGTATCGGTAGCGCTGTAGTTGTTCAGATTTTACTGCCCAGTCCAGATCACCTTTAAGCTGCTGATACATTCGATACACACCGGTATATAAATAGGCACGGGGACAAAGTGCCAGCATTAGCACAATAAATCCCTCTCTGCTGTGTGGAGGTTTAATGTTAAAACAAAAGCCTGTAATGCGACAGCATTTCCACCAGAAACAAAGTCCAGACGGAGGAACGTGAACACGGGTCTGGACAAAGGTTATGCTAGTCCTTGATGTAAGGCACTCCCTGTTTTTAACAAACGTATCTGACGAAACGCACAGTTCAGTAAACTGAAGATTACCGTGCTTCAAATGCCTTTTGATAAATTATTTTAGATCGGTCGTATCAGAAAACTTGTTTTTTAGAGGTCAAACTGACACGAGCAGTTTATCATTCAAACTTTTATTTCATGGTCATCTTGTTTCCATCAAGTAGTGAAAGAAGAAAAAAACGTTTCAAGTCGTGCTCAGTTCTTAAGAGGAATTTTGCCGACTCTGAAAATATTCATTACATAACGCCCGTGGGTGCTTATTTTAAAAATCTCTTCGTTTCGCAGCTCTACCTGCAGGCTCGACTCCAGGTCCACTGGGCGCGGCTGCTGAGACCAACCTTACAGTTTTTCCTGATCGCCGCCTCCGTGTACACGGGGCTGTCGAGGGTGTCCGATTACAAACATCACTGGAGTGACGTGCTGACCGGACTGCTGCAGGGCGCGCTGATGGCTCTGCTGGTGGTAAGAGTTGAGCGCGTCTGCACGGAGTTCTTCTTGAAAACGTATTCACTCCAGCAGCACTGATGGCTTTTAAAATCGTCTTGCAGGTCTTCTATGTGTCAGACTTTTTCAAGCCTGGTGAGGAATCTCGTAAAGAAGCGGACACGCTTCATTCGAACCTGCAAGAGTCGCCCACAAACGGAAACCACTTTGAGAGTCCGAACTAAGCTTGGGGCGCAGCGGGGTCCTCTGCTCCCTCTAGACGCACACCCAGAACTCCAGCTCCGAAGCCTTCCATCTTCCATCCAACACGATGCATGAACTTTTAGTGTGAACTACCTTAATATTAAGCTAAAGGAACTCAAACCACACCAGGCCTGTTTTTAATTTATGATTTTAGAATATTTTGTCTTCTGAAAATGATGAGACCACCTTCTTCAGCTGTAGAGCCTGAAAAGACGGGAATTATTTAGCATCTGCTGATCCACTGAGGCAGTAAGACTTGATCGCATGCGTACACTTAAAGGGTCTGACCACTGCTGGAAACCTGTGAATGTAACCTTGCTTAGTGCTTTTCCTCACCTGGAGTCGGCATGCTCAAGCTGATTTAGGGTCAGCTTTGTGTCTTCACCCAGTCATTAGTTTAAACCTTGTGGCCCGAGGGCCAAGATGGAGGCTCAGTTAAAACAGTTCTCTGAGATTGCTGACTCCAGGCTGCTGCTGCCTTCCCCTCCAGCTGTCTAACCAAACGTTAAACGAGTCATTTGACCCGTGCAACGTTTGGTTAAAGAGGTGGAGGGGAGGTCGACTGTTAAACCCCACATTGCCTTTGCTGGACTGCTGCAGCTTCCTGTGTATTTAATGTAAACGAGTAAATAGACAATGTGCTTTTTATATAATCTGTATGTAACCAAATCACCATACAGACTTTTATTAAAACGATGTTACAAATATGTACAAATGTTTAAAATAATGAGAAATAAAGCCATTTTACTTCAGGTTAGCCCAAACGAAGCATGAGTTTGTGTTGTGCACCCGTTGTAAACGGAGCTGAACAAAAGCTCCAACTATTAATGTATTCTGATCCATAACATTTGTGTAAAAAAACTAATTAAATTGGAACTAAACAGTGTGATGTTGATGTGTGGATTAGAGCAAGAAGCAAATCTGGAGATGGTCACGGTCTATAAATACAGACTGGCAGCAAAGACGATGTCTCTCTTGATCTTCGTTATTCCTGCAGAGAGAAATAAAACAAGAAAATTAATCTGTAACCAGATCATATACCAGTGGTGTCATACTTTTAAAGGTCAACGGCTTCAAATATTGTAAAAAGCAGTTTGCAATGATGAGAAACAAGCATGCTTAAAAAGGTTAACCTGTCTTTAGGTCAGGCAGTGCATCGAGGTTTCAAGATAAAATATCTTACACTAAAACTTCTACTGAAGCTGCAAACCTTTTAGCTTTGAAACGACAATATAAGAGCTATACTTTTATTTGTTGTTTATATTAGTCAAAAAGGGGGAAACGGGGAGTTAACTAGTTTTATGAACTGATCATTTCTTTGAAGTTCAGTAATATGAAGTAAGACATGCATCTAATCTAAAACAGTCCTGATTTTGCAACAAGAACTTGGAGCTTTGTGAATAAATTTCAGTCTAAAGCGTTAATTATTGTAGCTAACCTTCTGCAAACTTGTTCTCCAGCTCAGTGTTACCGATGGCTTTGGCTGCGGAGCACATCTGTCGCAGCACTTCCTCCAGACGGCGCATGCAGCGGATAATGCTTCCTAAATAAAACATACATAATGGAGCATCTGCATTAATATGGACAAAATAAGGACACTTCTAAAAGGAACTGGAAAGCTACGAGCGTTTCTCAATTGTGTTTCTGTTGCCAGAGCACACGCAAGCTCAACAAAATCCTCCCTCAAGTTTCCCAACTCAAGATTCCTTTCCTGCTTTTTGTAACCTCCAATATTTAACAGATGAACTCACTGCTGGCACAGAAACTATGGGGAGAATGCTGGAACTGGGAATCCAGCCACAAGTAATAAATCTAATTCAAAATCAGCCCTGAACTGCCTCAAATGCTGCGGAAAACTCCCCAACAGTCAGAAAAGAAGACAAACATGATAAAGTAGTTTTAACATTCTGAACGCACCCTCGAAGACGTCCGTCATTTTGCAGATTTGAGCAAACGTGGCCCCGTTAGCCCAGGCGTAGATCACGTCCATCAGGTGGGGCTTGAACTGGCTCAGATAAGAGTCTTCATCCACCTCCAGCTTGGCGTCTGCAGACACTTTGGCAATGCGCTTGGCACACTCCTAAACCCGACATTCAACGTTAACCGTGTTCACGTCAACCTGGTAGAAAACAGCTTGTGCTTCGTGTCTCACCTGCATCTGTCTGAGGGGAGCAGCCAGTTGTTCCGTTAGCTTCGGCATCTCGTTGGCCTGCAGGGTGAAACGACTTTTTAACCTCCGGGGAGTCAAATGCACTCGTACAGAAATGATGTGAAAAGTGTGTGTAAAGGTTGCTGATGTTTTTTCTGCTGATGATGGAAGTGGAAATGGGGGAGCAGTTGCAAATTTTACACTTCTGTACCGGTTAAGAGTTGAACAGTTTTTGTGCATCAGTGCTGCTTCCATTACAGCTGCAACCAGTTTCACATCTTGTGGCGTTAAATGTCAGACGAGAGATATTCATGCAATCATCTAACGAAACAAACGATAGACATTAAAAAAATACTTTTGATCAGGCATTCGGTTTCCGCTTTAGCAACAGTCTCACACAAGATAAGCAAAAGATATTCACTATTATTTAAAATTGCCAAATTAAAGCAAAACAGAAAAACGAGTCCTGATTTTTTTGCATTCTGTATTTTTTAAACATCCTGAATTATGTCCGACTAAAAGAGAAGTTTCTCCTCGTTGTATCCAACAGCAGCTGAGTCTGTGTTAAAACTGTGTCCACTTTGTAGTCGTACAGAAACAGACCATGTCATTTTGAAGCACACCAGCACCTTACTGCTATTTGTAGCTTTCTTTAGAAGCTGGGTGTTCTAGTGATCTGTTAAAATAGAAAGAACGCCAAGAAGCAGCTGTCTGTCCAAAACAAGGCCTCAGTCAGGATAGTAAACAGATTTCTAAAAAATAACCTTAAAACTACAAAGGAACAAAAATTTGAATTTCAAAACAGTAAAATAAAACTTCCTTGTTTGTGTTTTTTACTGAGACTGACACAATGACAGTTACAAAAAACTGTTATCTAAATGAAATACAACAAATCACTGTTAATACTTGGGAATACCTGCAAATTAACACTCAGATAAATAATTAAATATATAACAATAAATAAATGAATGAGACCTGTCACTCTTCACAAACTTACAGACTGGTTCAACAAAACAGAGAAACGATGAGATGGACAACGCTCAGAGCAGAATGTTGTTCTTTTAAGAAGACGGAGGCAACGTGGAGGCAGGGAAGAGTTCTGCTTCGTTTGTCGTTTCAAACAACAGACTTCATTAGACAAGACAAACACACCAAGTTCAGCTTTCTGTTTTGGTTGCAAAGCAGGGAACCGAGCCAAGAATGCAACTCCGTGGGAATGGGAATCAGATGTTAAGGTCAGTGTTCGGGGAGGTTTGCTCAGAGAATGAGATGAATTGTGTGTTTGCTCCTACGTTCTCCTGGAAGACGAAGCAGGACAAGAGGGCGGTGGCTTGTTCAGCCGTCAGGTCGTTGAAGAGGCCGTTGAACACCATCTCTGTCAGCAGGAGCTCGTCACCACTGCAAAAACACCACACACAGAACTACACTGTAAAAAACAGGATCTAAAACGGACCGTTCAGTTTAGACAATGGTTGTGAGGAAACACTGCAAACCAGTAAACGCACACGCCTTGCTTTAGAAACTTGTCCCACTAACAAATCAACTTATCAGACTGATAGAAAAGTGTTACCAAACTAAGTCATAATAAACGTTAAAAACTACCAAGCAACCCCAAATGACGTGCATGCGTGTTCCTCCCAACCTGCTGATTTCACAGGCGACCCGCCCTTTCATCTCGATGACGTCAGAAAGACTGGCAAAGCCGAGTCTTCGGAGAACTCTCTTCCGGCATTTCAGCTCATCCATCTGCAGGACGGTTCGAGCTTTCTTCAGGTCTCGTTTGGCCGTTCGAACATCTGCCGCGATCTAAAGAGCACAAGCGCACATCTTCAGTGATACGAGTGAGCAAAGGGTTCGCACATCGCTCATTAACGTCTGTCAGAACTAGCAGCTGTTTTGTGCACGAGATGAGCTCAAACAGTGCAGTTACTGTCACAGTGATTAACAGGAGTGTGGCTGAAAGTTACAGCAGATGCTTTATCTTGTAGAGAAACTCCGTCACTCACTTCACTCCATTTCTCACAGATGCAAAACACAACTCTGACAAATACGCCCACAAATGTCACCAGCAAGGTTAATTCCTCCAGAAATAAATAAAAAAACACTTATTTTAACCCCATTGTTTGCTCATAATCTTAGCAGCTATAAAAAAGGAAACATCTTTAGTCGTTAATGGTCAGATTTAATGTTTTATATTTAAAAATGTGCATGTGGTCTGTGATGGACTTGTGTCCTGCTCAGGGTGTACTCGCCACCTTTTTATTAATCATGACACCATCACTCCATAGTGGTGTGGTAGAAACACCACTTTATGATTTCCTCTAGTCCTCTTAGCAGTTGGGGAAGAGGGCTTAATTTGAGAAGATGTTTTTTCAAACAAGCTCACAAACTAAATTAGTTCAGTCCCTCTATCAGATTCTCTTTAGCCGTTTGTGCAGATCATTATCCACTTATGCGCACAGGAGGACTCGCTGTTGCAGTTCTTCAAAATTTTACAAGATTAACACCTAAAAACAATTATTTGTTTGCTCGACATTATAGCAAAGGTGAGTAGGTCTGTCACGATAAATTTTGCTGGGCGATTGTCTCAGAAATTATTGCGATAAACGATAATATTGTTTGAAATTTGACAATAATTAGTAATTGTCAAATTTAAGAAGAAATGTTGGTTAATTTGTTTTGTCTGTAGAACTTTTTTGACCACTGGGTGGCAGTATAGGATTGTTTGAACCGAAGGATGGATAGTGAGGGAGCGACCAGCGTCTCTTTAAGAAAAGGAGGGAGGGAGGCCCCTTGACGTGACATGGGCTGTCTCGTCTTGTTTTTCGGTTCTCAAAATGGCGGACGCTCGGTGTGCCTCTAGCGGCTGCAAACGGTAATGTTTACTCTGGTTCATGTCAGTACATGACAGTATGTGAACATTTAAAGTATCAGTCAAAAATAGCATCATGGATATGGAGGAGGGGAGAAATACTGTTATTTCCGGACTATATGCCGCTACGTTTTTCACACACTTTGAACACCGCGGCTTATACAATTCTGCGGCTAATTTATGGATTTTTTTTTTTTTTGACGGGCTAACGAGCTTCATGTCACCAAAACATTTAGCTCCGTCACACCCAGGCACTCGCATAGCTGCCCAATACACATCTCTCTTGGGGAGTAGTTTACCAGCCGTGTTACATGCACTGTTCATAAAAAAAACATTTACTGTATTTGTGTTACCAGTACGTATTTAATTAAAATAATTTTTTTTTTTTAAATCTTTCTGTGTAAATATCTCATGTTACAACGTGAACACCCGCTGCTTATAGACAAGTGTGGCCTCTTTATGTAAAATTTTAATTTTCTTTTTAAATTTAGCGGGTGTGTCTTATATTCAGGTGCACTCGATAGTACAGAAATTACAGTATATAAGTCACTTTGGCGTGCAAGTCACAGGACTGGCAAATCTATGATAAAAACCTGCTACTTGTATACGGGAAAATACAGTAAAGGTGATCCAAGCCCAGACCAATGAGGGCAACATTTAAAAGTAGAGCAACTAAAAGTTAAAATATGAAACAGTGTCAGTGAGAGGACATGGTGTTTAAGTATTACTTGTCTGGAGGGAGACAGAACATCTGCATTACGCACTATGAATAGTTTATTTACTCGCAGGATGAGAAAGCGCGACATTTGTGTGACCTATGACGTAAGATGTAGAAATAATATGGTTTCTTCCCGTGTTTGTACGAGTTTATATAAAGCTGAACACAAGAGGAAAATCGAAGGTTATCTAGACTTATCTAATGAGCAGTATTATAGCAGTACATGCTATAAATAATTAAAATCCAACATTTCAGTAACAACAATATCCATCTATTGTTTAATCACTGCTTTGTACGATGGACTAACATTTATTGAAACTTCCTGAAGTTTGACATTTAACTCGTGTGCACATAATTCAAACAAGCAGTTTCTCACCAGAGCTTTCTTCTCACAGAGAGAATAGACAGACTCCAAATTGGGGTCACTGTGGAGGGAGTGGGTGTACATCCGGTGCTCGAAGGCCTCCACTTTCTGAATCACTTTCTTCAGCGCCGGGTCTTTGATGCCCATGTCATCGATGGGGTCGAGTAAAGGAACACCATCTGGGAAACGTTTCTGCACCTCCTAAAGGCAAAACGAACGGAGGCAGATTAAAATGGTTTTGACAGAAATTTCAGTTATAGCTTTCCTTCAATCAGCACGACTGCCATGTGTACCTGAATGGATTTGAGCATGAGCTGTCTGTTGTCGAACGGTCTCAGGTCTTTAGGGATATAAAGACGAACAGAGCTGATTGAAGTTAAGAGGTGGAGCATCACTGGAACCACCTGGAAAAAAAACAGTGACTGTTAAATGTATTTGTAGCATAAAGTTGTGCATTTTTGCCCAGTTTCACCAACCTGCATTTCTCCAGTCTCCCCTGAAGCTGCAGGTCTGGCAGCTTCTGTTGCTGCATCTTTTACACTTTCCTTACTACAGTGAAGCAAAACCTCCACCACATACAGAGGCTCCGAGTCCATGCTGGTCTAAAAAGACAAAGAAAAATTAAACAATTAGTCATAGAAGCTGCCTTAAAAAATAAATAAATGTAGGTAATACTGCCTTACTTTTACGTTAGTCTTCTTGCAAAAGTTTACAACGACTCCCCAGCCAAAGTCAACATCCTCATTTTTCACCTGTGGCGTCAAAATGAAGCGTTGAGATTACAATTAAATGTAAAAATTCTTGATCACTGCTAGGCCTGCCGAGATAAACAATAAAATCAATTAATCGCAGAAATTACCGACCTCATTTTCATTTATCGGCTGTATCGTTTCTTCGTGTCTCTCTCTCTCTGAAGACACTGACCCCCTCCCTTTCTCTTTAAAATCCATTTGAACCATACAAACATCGCGTATTTTGGATCGTTAAAAGCAGCTAAGCTACGAGCTAAGCTAACAGGCCGACATCAGGAAAAAACCTGTCTTGTCGAAGCTCCAAAATTCAAGGTTGAAACCTGTGTCTTTGTCTAAAAAGTTGTTTATCTCTGCAAAAAGAAGCTGAGATCTTGTTTACTGATTTTTTATTAAAAGCTTTGAGTGAAAAATGATATGCTAAAGAACTCAAACTACACCGAGTGTCTGCCATTTTGAGACCCAAATAAAGGAAGGAGAGACAGCCCATGTCACATCAAGGGGTCTCCCTCCCATTTTTCTTAAAGAGATACGCCACTCGCTCCCTCACTATCCATCCTTAAGTTCAAACAGTCTTATACTGCCATCCAGTGGTCAAAAAAAGTCACTACACACAAAACAAATTACACATTTCTTCTTAAATTTGACAATAATTACCAATTATTGTCAAATTTCAAACAATATTATCGTTTATCACAATAATTTCTGAGCCAATTAATCGCCCAGCAGAATTGGTTATCGTGACAGGCCTAATAACTTCTAGACTGTGAGTAAATTAAGCTGTACCTTGACAAGTCGCCCAGGCTGCAGGAACGGCAGGCAGTACTTGGGTTTGTGGATGAACTCCTGGATTTCTTTACCCAGTTTGGCCAGCTGCTGCCTGATCTTAAAGTAAGTGACCACACTCTCTTCATTAGGAATTTCAATAGTGTGGTACTGCTCCTCCAATTTCTTAATTTCTGTACAAAAAGGATCAGAATTCTGATTCAATTTCCATCTATTACTGCAACTTTGAATTATTTACTTGAGTGGTATTGGTTTACCTGTTACCATCTAATCTAATTGTGACTGGAATGTGTAAAAGGAACATATGAAACATACTTACTCTCAACGACACCAGGCAGAGCCCTGTAGTGTTGGAACTGGTAAAACGACTTCTCAAGCATGTATTCTGGGTTGATCTCTTCCACACGCAGCAGGTTGAGCACCATGTTGTAGGTCAGGTGGAAGGCACTGTTTAACGGGTCTGCTGAGCCCTGCATGGCACAGCAACAACAAAAACGTGCACTCCTTTAGTATAAATTTAATTTACTACAAGATAGTGTTGCCACGTTAAATGATCTCATGGAAAATCTTCGCTGATAACAGGAAAGGTAAAAAAAAATAGGTTTAACCAATGGAAAATGGGTCAATTTGTGCAAATCAGAGGTTAAAATCAAAAAGGTTTTATGATGGAACTGAACTGTACCTTCAGTAGCTGTTTCCCCACAGCTGGACTCATCTTCTCATCCACCATGAAAATAACGATTCCCCTATCATCCATTCCTCTCCTCCCAGCACGGCCAGACATCTGGATGTATTCACCTGACGTAATCTAGACAAATAAGAAAACGATGCAGAGAAAATCTGCCTTTTTACTTGCAGAATAAAATGCATTTGTTGTCTGCTATTCCACAAAATGCAGATTAACGAATATGGACCGTGCAACTTCTTTCTGCCACCCGTCTGATAAATCCTAATTGTTTAATGGTCTGGTTGACAGGAGGATCTGTTTTGTGGTGAAACTCTAAAATCTTTATTTTAGAAATGTCAGCATAGGATCATAATTTCAAAATTGTGGCTCATGAGGAGTGCGTTTTGAAGCGAGTGCCTGCGTGGAGCTTTGGCTCCATCAGAGGCACCAGATGTTCCTGATGAACTTCTTGGAAGGCAGTGTCTCTCATTCTCTTCAAACTTTAATGTGTGTGTGCGGAACAGCAGCTTCACACACGGCCCCCAGCTCTTATAAACAATACGTGGCTGTTTATGTGGCAAAGCAAGCAGGAGTGTCTGAAGACCTTATAAAGGCTTCAGAGCAACACACCGAGTATCAACTCTACACTAAACACACACCAGAACAGCTTTAAAGAGACGGGACAGTTTATAAGGAGCTGCTGACCCTCAGACTTGAAGATATACACGGTTCACTTTCTTTCCGAGTGTTTAACTTTCCCCAAACGCTTTGAATACATTTAGGTAGTTTCACTCCATCCTCCTGCTTTTGGAAGGCTTCATTATCAATTATGTGAAATGACACAATGTAATGTATATTAGAGAAACAGCTCAGGTAAATCTATCTTCAATAGGTGGTAGGGAAGTGGGACTAGGTAAGTCTTCTTACAAAGCGGTGACTCTTGCCATCAAATTTGCGTGCGCTGGTGAAGAGCACAGTCCGAGCCGGCATGTTAATTCCCATGGCAAATGTCTCTGTAGCAAACAAGGCCTGGGAAGAAAATAAAGGCATGGACACAATTTCAGCTCAACGTGACATTTACAAGAATTAGTTTTCTTGAGTATTCTTTTTAACAATATTTATACAGTTACAAACAAAAACACTGTGTGCTGATCTGAGTCCTGACTAGTGGTTTGTTGCTTCATAATTTTGATTCATCAAACATGTTAAAAAATAATAGTTACAATAGGTTTACCGTGTCGTCCAGTTAACAGTCTTAGTGTTTAAAAACTATGTGGAGTTTTAATAAAAGTCCTTTAGTAGCTGCCTGACTTGCATCTGGACCAGTTTAAGTCGTGCAATTTTTTAAAGGTGTGTTTGAAATGAGCAGCTGGGAAAGATTAGGATTATCTGTCAAATTGTGTGCAACGCTAATTAGATTACCAACTATATTACAGATGTCCTGATGATGCGCAGTAATTCAGGTAGATATCCCAGGACATCCTTGTAAAAGAGATTAATCTCAATGGATTTCTTCCAGGTTAAATAAAAGGTAAAAAAAAAAAAAGAAAGATAAATCTAAGAAAGTTGAGTCAGGTCCTCTGGTCGGGTTCTTCTTTGTTGAACAACTAGTTGTGGCTGTCACCAGCAAACTGGTTGAAGGTGCTGATTATAAGACTGAGTTTGCTGCAGCTCCTCAGACTAAAGAAGTCATTTGGATAAAAGACTAAACGTTTTTTAACAAACACAAATCAGTCCAGGGTACCTGACTCAACTTTGTTAGATACACCAAAGATTGTTCAGAAATATTTACAGAATATTATACCGGTAAATTGCCTATACCTAAATAAACAATCTTACACTGCCTGGCCAAAAAAAAAAAAAAAACAGTTGCCACCAAAAAAAAGGTCACGCGCTAATATTTTGTTGGACCACCTTTAGCTTTGATCACAGCATGCATTCACTGTGACGTTTCAATAAATTCTACAATGTCACAAGATCCATTTCCATCCAGTGTTGCATTAATTTATCTTGTATTGATGACCAGGCACTAGACATGATGGGTGCATCACTTCACCTGCCTCTCTTCTTACCCTGATGCACACATCACTCTGGAACAGAGTGAATCTGGACTCATCAGACCACATGACCTTCTTCCATTGCTCCAGGGTCCAATCTTTATGCTCTCTAACAAACTGAAGCCTTTTTTGTCCAGTTAGCCTCACTGATTAGTGGTTTTCTTAAGGCTGCACAGCTGTTCAGTCCCAATCTCTCAAGTTCTCTTCACATTGTGTGTGTGGAAATGCTCTTACTTTCATTATTGAACATAGCCCTGAGAGCTACTGTTGTTTTTTCTTCGATTTGATTTCACCAAAGTGATCACCGATCATGATCATTCAGGATTTTTTTAAGGCCTCATTTCTTCCTCTAAGACTATGGGTCCCCACTATCCTTCCGGTTTTTAATAATGCGTTGGATAGTTCTTAACCCAATTTTAGTAGATTCTGCAATCTCCTTAACTGTTTTCTCTGCTTGATGCCAACGATTTGACCCTTTCTCAAAGTGAGAAGCAACTCATTGCGCCAGTCGGGGTTAAAGAACTTGTTGCCAGCTGAAAGATAATCACTCATGCAGTAATTATCCAATAGGAGGCTCGTACCCATTTGCTTAGTTAAATCCAGGAGGCAACTTTTTAAAAAATTTTTATAATGTAATTTAAATGTCCAGTTACGATCCTGCAGAGTGGAATATTACTTCACTCCTCGGTGTGTTTACAGGAGGGTTTCCTCTAAGATGGCAGTACCTTAAGCAAGCCCTCAGAGAAAAGAATCTCTATGGTTTCTTTCAGGATGGGTAGGAGGCCTCCATGATGGATTCCTATCCCTCTCTTCAACAGTGGCAGCACATGCTCGACCTGTGGGACACCAGAGGATCATTACTGGTAATTTGTTAAATTAATGACAGTTTAAATCTAACAGCTTGAATCAAAGGATTACAGCGATTAAAACCAGATATGGAAACAACCCTGGCCATGGAAAAGGGTGTAACGTCATTAATTTATTCATCACACATGCTGTATTAATCGACTCACCAACAGAACATGAACGTGACATGCTTTCTAACGATAACTCAAAGGAGCAGCTTCAAGTGGAGCTCAGAGTGATACATTTTCAAACAAGTTGTTAACTCTTCTCTTTGAGCAAATAAAGGACAAACTCGTGTGGTTTCTTTTCACGTGTACACGGTGTCAAATGTTAAGTTCAAATACTGGATGGATGTTATAAAAGTATTTGAAGGAAATGTGTGATGGACCTGTCCTGCTTACCTGAGGCAGTTTTTTGTCCTCATCTGAAAGACAATCCACTGCGTTGCTGAACACTTCTTCCACGAGACGCTTCTCATCATCTGGAACAAACAATGCATTTCTTAACGTCTGCTCAAACAGATGTCCAAATAACACTAAGGCCTTCTTACACCATCAATTAGTAGTTTAACTAATCTGTTGTTAATATGGACAGTCGGAAGGAGGTGGACTTTCCTGAAGGGAAACTTTGTCCAAAACATCAATGATCTTCATCTCATGCCTATCGTTTTAATCAAGATTAAAGTCTTTTTTTTAATCTACAAGAACTACTATGTTTATTTAACAGCAAGTCAAATGACTCGAAAACTAAGCAATTAAAAAAATAAAATAAAAACGCTTAGAAAGTAACAGCTTACAGTAAAGTTTGGTTCCAGTATTTAAGAAGGGAAGATCATGCAGACATATTAAAAAAATGTAAATAATGCACACAAAAAGGAGGAGAGGGGTTAGGAGTTGATCAGTAAAAATAAACCAGAGGATCTACGTGGCTCGACCACCTCATTGTAACCCACTTACACTCAAAACATGAACTGGGTAAACACTGTGGCTTCACCAGTTTGTTGAAAAAAATAATAAAAGCCCTTCTATGTCTGACAGCTAAGTTAAGTTTCCATCATTTAAGGCATTTATCTTAGCATAATTTGTTATGTAATAGTAATTTGAGTCTGTGTTTAAATAACTCAAAGAACAAGAAATTAACAAGTTTTTACTTTTCAACTAATTCAAGTCGAAGTTTATTTTTGCACAATGCCGTTTGCTAATTTTACATGAAACTCAGCTTAAATTGGAAAATCAGTTAGTGAAAATGATAAATTCATAGGCAGCGATTTCCCATTTGTTGTTTGGGATATTGATAAACTTTCAGCTTTCACAGAATAAAAGTCTTGGTTGTTGGAAGAGCTCAGCATTAAAACATACCTCATTTAGAATGATGTCACAGACCAGGAAGAAACAAATCAAGATGACGAAGGAAAAACGTTCCACAATATCAACTTGTATGGATGTTTTATTTCACGGCAAAAGGTCTGAAGCAGGTGGATGTGAGCCAAGCTTCCTCTAAAGCTGGATGCTTTCCACACAGAATTACTCTTCATGAAGAAACTCCTTTATTTGTCCAAACGTGTGGCACAAAAAGACATATTTATAACACTCCCTCAGTGGAGAGGTTTCCATCAGCTCACTCTGCCAACAACTTAGTGTTTTGCTGAGGGGTTCCGGTTTTCTAATTTCAACTCCCACAAGTAATTTGTCACAAAAATGTGTTTATTATGACATTAGGTTTGAAAGAAATGTATTCATCATATAGAGGACTGGTCAAAATTATAACTCCAGTAGAGGAACTGAATACGAGTTATTCTGACATCCAAAGATGATTAATTTTACTTGAGACAGTAGTATCATACAAGCTTGACTTAATGCATCTGTTTCATCTTTTAAAACTAATAGCTATCTTAGAAATAAAACAATATTATTTACAAGGTTAACAAAGATGAGAGTTATAAATTCCAAACTAAATCTCTGTAAATGCACGTACCGCTATTGAAGTCCAGTTTGGCCACCTGCAGAGCGTACGCCTCACATTCCTTCTTACTGAAGCTGAATATGATGACTGGCTGGAAGTTCCTCTCCATAATCATCTTCACTATCTTAAATACACTTGATGGACCTTGAGAGGGGACACAAAAATACATTGTTCAAGACAAAAATGTAATTTAAAAGCATTTTTGCCCCTTAAGTTAAACTTTGCTTGTATACCTCTTGTGCCTCCTTTCCGTCCTCGATCCCACTTGCCGCCTCTACTGCTGGCCCCAGACTCCCCAGCATCTCTCAGCACCTGCATGGCTGTGTTGAAATTGTCTTCTCTGAAGTCCCCCTGAAAAAAAAAAGTGTGCAAGCATGTGGAAATTTTGATAACAATGCAACTGCTCCATATGATGTATCCACAAGGGAAGGAAACAATCTTGACCCAATAAAACCACAAAATTAAAGTTCGATCACAGGATTATTGGTGTAAACGTACAGTCTGGCTCCAAATCATTTATTAAAAAAGTGGCATATTTACATTCTCATCAACCACCAGATGGAGTCCATCTCCCCCTGCTGGAAAGATGTAATGCTGCAGCGGAGTGGGGCGGTATTCTGTGTAAACCACATGGCAAGGCTGCAGGAAAATTAGACCAATGCTTGAATAACAAATGCACAAATAAAATCTAAACAAAAAAAGTTTAGTCTGATTATTATAAATATCTAGATAATTGACGCCTTCTTAAATGCATATACAAGTAAAATGGCATACCTGCTTATGTAAATGGCAGATCCACTCCGCAAACTGTCGAGCATTGGGAATGGTAGCAGAGAGGAAAACGTAGTGCACATTGTCAGGAAGAAGAATGATGGTCTCTTCCCAAACCACGCCACGCTCTGACATACACATAAGAAGTAAACGTTGTCGTCAGTGGCCCACATAAAATAACATTTATATTCTATCAGATGTGGTTTAACTTTGTACACAGTTCAAAATTGCCTTTCATTCTGTCATTCTTTGTCTGACAAAACTGGATTTAAAAATACAAAACTCCAATTTCTGCTTCCAGAAATCAACAGAAACGGCACAGAAAAGTAAAAAAAATAAAAATAAAACAGCCTAAGAGTACAACCTGAACAGTAAGCGTCCTGAAACAGCTACTTTGCTAAATTATGCACAGAAAATCATAGTAAATCTTTCAACCTTTATTAGTTTTTAAAAAAGGGACATAAGAAAACATTTTAGGCCTTGAGTAACCTCAGAGTTTATGAAGTTACTAAAAATAAAAGTCACTTTGCTTTGGGACTCCTGGGTTTGAAAATGTGTCACTCAGGTTCAAATATCAATTCAGATTTAAATGACAAGAACACGAGCAACTTTTTAAGCTTAAAGTACTACAGTCAAGTCTGTTTGTGTGTCTCATTTGTACTTTTCCTTAAAATCAAGAGATTCACTGCTTTTTAGAAATTCACCCCCCCACCCCTTTTTTTTTTTTTACTTCTTGCTTTGGTATTGATACGAACCAGTAAATAAATGGAGCTACATTGACAAAATCAGATAAGACGCGTTAAAATGAGCTGATTAAAAGCTTCTATTTTTAGCATCTATCCATAAACTTCAAAAGAACATTCAGAAGCAAACACAGAAGAATTGACCAACAGTAAAGTTTAGTATTTAAAAAACTGACATGTGATGAACAAACTGTGCCAGACTGTGACTGTGTATTAACTGGTCCAGCTGACTTACATTATTTATTTTTGCATCTTCTGGGTTAAGATTTAATGACTTGAACCAGTTTTAAACTGGTAAGATTGTATGTAGATGTCTTGTTACCAATGAACTGTGGCTGAACTGGACTAATGCTGACTGCACCACGAAACAAAGTGATGTGCCATCAACATGGCATGTCATTAACATTTACACTCCAGTAAGAGCACTCCGGTCTACCAACCAGTTCCTCTTAGATGTCCCCAGATCCAAACTGAAATCCAGAGGTGATCGGGCTTTTGCGGTTGCTGCTCCAAAACTGTGGAACAGTTTACCTGAGAATTTAAAGACCGCTCAGACTGTTGAGACTTTTAAATCTTTGCTCAAGACTCATCTGTATTCCTTGGCATTTTATCCACACAGAGTCTGAGAACAAGTTGAGCTGATTTTATTGTTGTTATGTGTTGTTTTTATTGTCAACTTATGTTTTTGAGTGGCACTAGATGCATTTTTACTCTTTTTTTTAATTTTTTAATCTGTCTTAACTGTAAAGCACTTTGGTCAGCTTTTGTTGTTTTTTATGTGCTATATAAATAAATTGACATTGACATCAACATTCAGTTTTAAGTAACAGATTGTTAAATACCCATGTAAGTTTCTTTTACAACCTATGATCATCAAAAGAATCCAAATGTAGTAGGAAAGTACAACGATAGAAGCTTTTGTTTGATCATTTTCTGAGGGCTGTTCAAGGCTCAAACTACAATGAATAGAAGTTATTTAATGCAATGTCACGTCTTCGTTCTGTACATACCTGCATCTCTCATATAATGGATCTCATCAAAAACGACCCACGCCACTTCTCGCATGATCTCAGAGCCTCGATACAACATGCTCCTCAAAATCTGGAAGGAAAAAAGTTCCCCATTTTCAATCCAGCTTTGCGATGGACATACAACACACAACTTTCTGTGAAGGATCTACAACTAAAGGAAAACCCATTAGGTGGGTGGTCATAATGTTTGAACTTACTGGTGTTTCTGATAATATTTGTATGAACAAAACTAGTTCCCACCTCTGTTGTCATGACGAGGCAGGAGGCAGTAGGGTTGATGGTGACGTCACCGGTCATCAGCCCCACATCCTGGAACTCTTCGTACATCTCTCTGTACTTCTGGTTGGACAGGGCCTTGATTGGGCTGGTGAAGATGACTCTCTGCTTCTCTCTGAGAGCCAGTGCTATGGCATATCTGGGAAAAAAAAGAGCAAAACAGGTCAGACCTGTTGGTTATACACAAGAAACAAGTTTAAAATAAATAAGAAAGCAACCAATCAAAAGAAATGTTGCTTTACCTAGATATTGGTAATGCTACAAGCCAAGACTTCTTTCCCCTCCAATAAAAAGTAATTTATCTTCATCTTTGAAACTCAACTTAATATATTTAATAAAATGACATCAGAATTATTCTTCTTTCAGCTGCTCCGTTCTTCAGGGGTCGTCACAGTGAACTAAGTCGCACGAAGACTTGGCAATTATTTTTACACCGGATGTCCTTCCTGACGCAACCACAGACCACCGAGCCACAGCCCTGTGTGTGGAGCAGAGAGCTGCTATCTAGGGTGCCCGGGGGATGATGATGGGGGTTAAGGGCTTTGCTCAAGGGCCCAGAGTGGGACGAATGAGGGTGGAGACAGGTGTGCATGCTTCATCAATCCCACCCACATTTTGATGTCGTCGGTACCGGGAGTTGAACCAGCAGCGATCTTCCGATCACAGGCCCACCTTCTCTAACCTCTGCACCACCACTCCCTCCCAATAAAATGACATCAGGATAAAGGGATTTAAAAAGTGCATAAAGTCACTTTATAGTTCCGCATGAACTGATTAATGTTGACATGAATAATGAAACAGAAGCATATTTATTAATTCCAAGTATTTAAGAGTAAACCTCAGAGTTCAGCTCTAATGACGCTTTGCCACTGTCTTAACTCTCGTCTGTTACCGGCCCACACTGCACCATTTAAAGGCCTGACCACTGCTGGAACCCACCCCCACTCAGCCCATCTTGTTTGTGGTTCTAAGCGGACTGCTTTGAGAGCCTGAATTTGACGTAAGCAGACAGCAGCTGTTGAGTGGCCAGCGGAGCTATATCACTGGACGGCCCACATGCAAAACAGAAACATCTGAACCTCCATTTCCTCAGATTGTATTGACAGATGGCGTGACAAGAAATGAGTCCATTTACAGAGATATCGGAGATGACAGCACAGCATGGTTACACCCAAACTTAGAAACAGTCAGGGGTAAGCAAATAGAAGTCTGATTATTGGGCGATTAAAAGTCACAAAGGGCAGAGTGGCTCAAACACAAAGCGCTGTTACGATACCACCTACTTTAAATTGACAATCTCACCTACGGAGTGGGGAAACAAGTCACGGTGGCAAATCACCTACACCTGACAAGAACGGACAAAACGAGCAGAGTGGAGTCGCACTTATCAATAGCAAAGCGGCTTAAGATACTTGGTTGTCAGGTCTCTCTTGTAAATGAGTCCTGAAGGCTCAATGGGATTTACCTGTCTAAATAAAGGTTGAATGAATGTTATGAGCCTTCTGTATGAAAACCCTGTCAAAAATTAAATCAGTGCACAAAAAACTGTACTTGTTGCTTATAATTTAATTTGGAGAGAAAAAATGGATGTTTATGTTGTTGTAAAAAAAAAAAACAATAAATCTGTGTCTTTTTCCTGTTTCTGTTATTAGAAAAACTGAATCAAAAATGTACTATTCATAGAGAAAAATAAACCAGACGAGCTGGGCAGAATTAAACCGTGCTAAAATACAGCAAGTACAATATCAAGACCTGAAGTGATTGGCTAAAGAGTACTGCATTTATCAAGGATACTTACTCAGCGCACACAGTTTTGCCTGCAGACGTGTGTGCAGACACAAGCACAGACTGGTTGTTGTCGATGCACAAAATGGCCTCACGCTGAAAGGGATCAAGTATAAACGGATATTCCTGCAGGACAAACCACACCATCTAATTACCGCTCTATAAAAAATAAAGTGCATGCAATATAATGCTCCATGTAGCAGCTCAACTTTAACTAGTTTAATGACAAGCTCCCATACTGCATTTGATAACGGTTATTGCAAAAATTATAAACAAATAAGTAATAAGTACATGCAACCTAATCAGCATAGTTGCATAAACCAGATGTGCAAGAGGGTTTAAATTTACGGTGTGTTGTACCTTAGCTGCTTTCCCAACTCTTGGTTTCAGTGGTTTATACTCGTCTTCTGCAGGAAGAGCGACCTGTTGATGAAAAACAGCTTTTTTTTTTTTTTTTTTTTTACATTTAAACCTTTACATTACAAATAAATAATTTTTTTAAATAAATTAGTTATTCGTTATGTTTAATTTACCTCATGTGAGCATCCTTCCACAGTTTCAACTGGCTCCACTTTCACTTGGGGCATAAATTCAGCAAGACTGGAAGAAGAACAAACAAAAAATAAATTCAGCCAGGTGCATCTTAAATAAAAAAAATTACAGGCCACTAATTTTTCATTCACATTTCTGTTCTTAAAGGAACATGGAACAGATTCTTTATCAATTATTGACATCCAGCTATAAATCAACAATTTTTTTATATTGAATATACAAATCATCTAAACACTGAAAACATTTGTGTTAAGCTATCTACAAATCACAACTCAAAATATGTAGAAAGTAAAACACACTAATTTTTAAACGTTTAAAAAATAAAAACGTTTTAAACAATTTATTCTAAAGAGACTAATCAGTGCTTTATCACATTAATACACTGATGGGACACACATCAGAGGTAATGAGGGGTTCAGTGTCTTGCCCAGGGACACTTCGGCATGTGACTGCTGGTGGATTCGAACCCCCAACTCTTGCACTGGAGGACGACTGCTCTAACCACTCAGCCACAGCCGCCCTCTGTCATGAGTTTAATGTGATGTGAAATCATTTTACCCTATTAAAATGCTTTATCATTTAAATTTGTAGTTATAACAAAGCCTGAAACTCGAAAGATTTAGATCACGTCTTCCCAAATATGATAGACAAGTCTATCACACTTTTCAACAGACAAGATCTAAGGTACATTTTCAACTAATAGTTAATTTAGTATGAATGTGCTACAAATGTAAATAAATTAAGCAACTCAACAAAAAAGCTGGGCAGCACGGTAGCACAACTGGTAGAGATGCTGCTTCTCAGCGAGTAGGTTACCCTGGTTCAAATCCTGGTCCAGGGACCTTTGTGAGTGCAGTTTGCATGTTCTCTCCGTGCATGCGTGGGTTTTCTCCTGGTACACCGGTTTCCTCCCACAGACCAAAAGCATGCAAGACTGATTGGTAACTTTAAATTGTCCCGAGGTGTGAGTGAGTGGACGGTTGTTTGTCTCCATGTGTCCCTGTGATGGACTGGAGACCTATCCAGAGTGTACCCCGCCTCTCGCACAGTGATTGCTGGACATGGGCACCAGTGACCCCCATGATCCAAAAATGAAATAGCGGGTAAAAGATAAAGGATGGATGGAAGATAAATGCTGGCCCCATTACATAACAGTAAAAAGGGTTTGAAAATAGTCACATATCATGTGTACACAATAAAGAAAATATTTATTTCTTGATTATTCCCTCTGGCTGGTTCTTCCAAGTCAATGTAAACAATACATAATTATAATCAAGCAAAAACTGTCACAGCTAAAATGTACGTAAATAGGTGTATAAAAGGGTAAAACAGAAGTAATGAACTGGCATGTGTTGCTGTTTTTATTCTAGTCAGGTACAATGAAGCTGCCTTTTACTTTAAGTCATTAGCCGTCTCCTGTCGAGGTCTCTTCCCAAACACCACGTCCTCTCCTCCGTCACAGTCTGCCTCCCTCTTGATCCGAGGAGATGGACCTGCATCTTTGTCACTACCGACTTTACCTGCAGCTTTCCTAGAAACACGCAAAACACAAGACAAATCGTCAGCAAAACCGAGTTTTACACTTTAAAAAACAGCAATAAAGCGTCATTTTAACAACGGTCAAATTTAGCTAAAGTTGAACAAAGCTCCAAACTTGATATAATCTACACAAATAAACACTTTTTTTTTCAACGGTAAACTAAAACAGTTGAGTTAGCCAACTAGCTGCACGAGCCCACATGATGTGGCAAAGTTCACGCGATACAGACCAAACGAAGCGGCTTAACTTCACACACAACACTTAGTTTTATTAAAGCAACACACCCTGTTTCTGTGGAGATGCTCCCGGGAATCTTTTTGCTGGCAGAACCTTGCTGTTCATCGTCAAACACGCTGAACAATCCGTCATCGAACGGGTCCGCCATGTTGGTTGGTGAAAATTTCCCACAATGCAGCGCGAGATTGCCTCCACAGTTCCGCTACGGTAGCCGAGTGGTCCATAAAACACATGCAGCACACGTCTGAGTGTTTTTCTATTTGGTCTGTCTTTCCCTCAATCGAACACCTCGGTGATGCTTTTAAGCCGCATTTTCGAGTCAACAAGCCGCAGGCGGGCAGGTGGAATTTGACCTGATGGGTGGGAAAAAGAAGAAATCGGCGCCTCAAGTTGCCCCGGCAGCAGCGGACAGCTGTGGTTCTGCTGCTGCGGGGACCGGTGCGGTGGAGAATCCGAAGAAACACGCAGCCAGCAGCAAAGCGAGCAAACCAGCCAAAGAGAGCAAATCTAAAGGTGCTGTCGCTGATTTACTTCAGTTTATTAAAGACTCGTGTATATTGTCACCAGTGTTTAAAGTCTGTAAGGGAGTTCATTTATTAGCTTTCTGAACACTGCCAAATCATTATGGTGCTTCCTTGGTGTCAAATAAAATTTATATATTCTCTGTACTATGTGATTTATCTCTCTCTCTCTATATATATAATATATTCTGTTTTTGTCCTTCAGCTCCAAAGACTTACAGTCTTGCTGGAACAGCCCAGGTGGACACAGGTGGAGCTTCAGACAAGTCGATTCTTAAAGTAAGTCTTGTATGTCTAGGTATTTAGAGACCTTTATGGGTTTAATAATTTAAAATGCATGTGATCTAACACAGGTGTCCATCCAAGCTGATCTGGAGAAAAAGATCATCAAGCTGATCAATGACTTCCAACAGGAGAACGGGGACAAAGGGCCCATATCTGGCAGACTTACGAGCAAGAAACTGCTGGTAAAAACAAGACCCTCAACCTTATCATCTGAACACCTGTACATTACCTGAATCAATTAAAGGCCTAGCCTTTCTTGTGAAAATTCATATCTCCTGCTGCCTTTTATGCCAGAGTTTTCCCACTAAGATCGTTAGTTGAAAAGAGGCAGAGCTGTTTTTGTTTTGGTGAAACCTTGAAATGACATTAAGCTCGATCTCATGTGACATTGTGAAATCTTATGAGATGTGTTAGCACTAAAAATATGATTTGGGGAGAACACTCAGCAACTGTCGCACCAAATATAGCTCAATATCTGTAATAACGTCAGTTATAGCCATTTTTGTGTGGCCTAATTTTGATAAGCTTTAGTGGCCAACTTGAAGTGAGGTGACTTCAAAAGTTAATCGGTTGTAGATGTTCAACCGTTTATTACTTTCTGAGAGTTTCATTGAAATGCATTCATAATTGTTTTCTTGCATGCTTGCAGGATCTGTACACAGCTCTGCAGAAGTTTAAGTTTAAGCGAGAGCACATCGAAGAGGCGATGAAGAGCATGGTCCTGTATGGAGGAGATCTTCACTCTGCTCTCGACTGGCTCTGTCTTAACCTTAAAGATGGTAATGCACATTCATTAAAACAAATATGCGGGGGAAAAAAAATCTTAAAGCTGATATTTGTGTGTGTTTATTATGTTTTAACAGAAGAGCTACCAGATGGTTTCAGCCAGCAGCTGCAGGAGGAAAACCAGAAGAGTCGGCCCAAATTCCAGCCTCCTCAACAGAAACCTGCAGCTCAGAGCCCCAAAGAGTCCAACGCCTGCAAAGAGACACCCAAGGTTTGTGTGTTTACTTGTGCCTACAGTATACATGTTCGGTGACAGAGCCTTTGAGTGTGTGTGTGGTGTTTGTCAGGTCACAGAGAAGGACGAAGCTGCAAACATGAAGGACTGGAT